TAGCTCTGATTCAGGGTCACCTGCGTGGCACAGAGGAAGGGTGGGAAGAGGCTGTGGCCGTCGGGTCCCAGAAGAAAACAGAATCTGACCTAGGTGGGTCGAGGGACTTTGAAGAGGGGCCTTTCGTCCAAGCGTGGTGGGGCTGAGGGGACAGAGAAGGGAGAAAGACAGCAGCAATGAAGAAAGCCATGGTGCCTGGGGACAGGAGGAGGCAGGGGAAGGGACAGCGTGACTGAAAGCCCCCGAGGGGTCATCTAGACAGGCACTGTAGCTGTGAGGGACGTGACAACCACCAGAGACACAAAGCCAAAGCAAGGGAGGACTTGGGAAGAAATGTCTCACCTGTCCTACCTCTCGCCCTGCAAGTCCCCTGCTGGCCCCTGCCATTGGCCAAACCCGACAGGAAGCCAGAAGGCCAGGGAGCCTGTGAAGACAGGACCACAGTATCCACTTCTGGGGACACAGGGAAGGCAGAGAAGGGCAAAGAATGAATTGGAGCAGGGAATGGACTTGGTAAAACCAGATATGTGGCTGAGTGTGATGCCACACGCCTGTGATCCCAGCAACTCAGGAGGCTGAGGCAGGAGGGTCACAAGTTGGAGGCCAGCCTGGCCTACTTAGCAAGACCCTGTCTCACAATGAAAAATAAAGGAGTGAGGGTGCAGCTCAGTGCCCCCTGGGTTCAATCCCCAGTACTGAAAATTATATTATGTATATGCTCAATAAATGGGGCTATTTTCATAATTATTTTTCAACACTCCAGAATGTTCCACTAATAAATATGCCACAATATACTTAAAAAATTCTCTTCTGGTACATCTTTTTAGAAAACTTTGTGGTACTGGAGATTGAACTCAAGGCCTTTGGATTGAATTTCATCCCCTCCACACTTTTTTTTGTATTTTGAGACAGAATCTCACTAAATTGCTAAACTGCCCAGGCTGGGCTTATGCTTATGATCTGCCTACCTCGGCTTCCCAGGGCACTGAGATTACAGGCGTGTACTACCATATCCTTCCAGAAAACTTTTTCTTTTTTTGTTTTTTTTGAGACAGGGTCTCATTATGTAGTTCAGGTTTGCCTTGACCTCACTATGTGTGTAGCCTAGGGTCGCCTTGACCTCTTGGGGATCCTCCTGCCTCAGCCCCCTGAGTGCTGGGACTATAGATGTGCACCACCATGCCCAGCTTTATACTGTTTTGTTTAGAGAACAAATGACAAGAAAAAGCCTGCGTATTCAAAACAGATGCTGATGTTCTTCCGAATATTTTTGATCCACAGTTGGCTGAATCCCTGGATGTGGAGGTCTGACTGTACCTGGAGAAAATGGTTGCCATAACCATGACTTTACACAACCCCTCAGCTACCTCGACCAACACCATTATCCTATTAATCAGTCCTTGTTGCCCAGGATATGCCATTTCCTGGGAAGGAAGCTGTGACTGGCTCAACCCAGATGGGAGTTCCCTTCTTATCCAATCAGCCATGGTAGGAGGCAGGACCGGTGACATCACACTCTGCAAACCTGAGAGTAGGCCCATTCAGCAGTTTTGCAGATTTAAGTAAGACTAAGCCTGGGCCAACAGCTCCAGGAAGTTGGACGCCCAAAGTGTTTTTGTTTTTTGGTTTTTTTTCTTCCCTGGAACGATTTGCTATGTCATTAACAAACACTCCCTTAATGGTGGAAGGCAGAATGGAGTCAGACAGCCTGACACTTATTTTATGAATTAGCATTATTTTAAATTTCAGTGTCATCCGAGGGATGAAATATTTAACAGTACTTACGGGCTGTAAAGTTTTCCGTTTGGTGCTTGTGGACTCAAGAAATTGAGGCTCAGAGAGTCTCCTGCCTTCCAGGGGCATGCAGCCAACCTCCCTGCCTGTGCCTGTGTCTGGGGACCATTTTCACAGTTTCGGACAGCGGCTTTTTACCACCTGGCCATGGGCCTTGACTCTGTTTGGGCCAGGATGTCAAAGCTAGGCTGGGACAACTGTATTCTCTTTCCTGGGAAGTTGTGATTAAGACTTTAAAAAATAAATAAATAAACTGGGCCCCAAAATGGGAACTCACAAGAAGCAAAGTGAGCAGAAGAGGGGGAAGCAGAGTAAATCGTTTTAAACAGAGGCCAGGTGGTTCCTGAGAGACAGCTGGGGAGAGGCACTGCTCTGGCAGCCTTCTGGTTCTTGGTTCTGGTTGCTTATAGCGCTCTGCTTGTAGCTTGCATGACCTAGCCCTAGTATTCATTCATATAATTCAATCTGCAAGAAGAAACTGCAATCTATACTCAATAAGAAAACTTAGTAATTCATGTAACAGGAAGTACAGAGCTAAGGTGGGTTTCAGGCATAGTATGCTCAGGGTTCAGTCATTTTCTCTATGCTCTTTCCTCCATCATGTCTTGTTTTTTATCTTACACTGCCTTCCCTCAGGGTTACGGAAAGGCTGCCAGCAACAACAGCAGCAGCGTACTTCTTTGTTCCTATCCATGGAGGTAGACTATACATCCTTCCTTCCTGTCTGATTAGGTCACTGTCAGCTATGTCCCTATCCCTGGGGCATCCAGTCTCTCAGAGAACTTACATCTTTGATGCAATCATTGGCAAGAAGGATGGGATGGCAGTGAGTGTCGAAGATGAATGGAGAAATCTACTCTTCTGGGCCTTGGGCTGAGGGAGAGGGCAGTTCCCTGAACTGGGGCATGATGGGAAGGAGGGAGAGGTGACAGGTGCTAGAGGTTTAAAGATCATTTTGATCTATTCTTTTTGTTGGGGTTTTTTTTTTTGGTACCAGGGATTGAACTTGGGACCTTGCATAAAGATCATTTTGAGTAATTTCGGGTGGGATTCTGATCCTTGTCACTAAGTGTCCCTTGGGTCTCAGCCTCCTGGCCTGAGCCCCATGCCTCTGCCTGCCCTCTGCAGCCTGGCCCCAGCCCCCCATCTGCGGCTCCAATCCTGCCAGCTGGTGGCCTGGCCTTCTGGCACCACCTTCCTCTCCAGCCCTGCCAATGGCCACAGAGCCCTTGGAGCAGTGAATGTTCTCACAAAACCAGCCGGTGCTTCTCTGCCATGAAGACAGGGGGAGCGGGTTCTTCTGAGGAAGGCCTATTTTTAACAGTCCCTGAACTAAACTGAACTGAACTTCATCATCTTTGTGTCGCTGACACTTGAAATATATGAGTCACTCACGTGGGGCTGAGGGCTGGCGCGGTGCTTTAAACATCAGACGTGGTAGAGATCAGCGTTCAGAGAGATGCTCAGGCTGGGGGCCGTTGGCTCCCTCAGAGTTGTGGCAAAGCATGGGGCTTTAGAGACAGAAGTCACCAGCTTCAAATCCTGCATACACTCTCCCCTTCCTCTGTTGGGAGCAATGCTACATAATTTTAGGGAAAAAATCCTAGTTCTCCTGCTTACAGGCCAGCTATGGCATTTCGAGACATAATTCCATTTTGGCCCCAGGTCACAACTGAGACCTCAATGATCCGGTGATGCTGTGATGCTCCAGGACAAGATTACAAGAGTGGGAAACATCCTGGGAGGAACAAAATCTTCATCTACTCAGTTCCTCCTTGATCTTGGATTTTCGCTGCCCCCCAGTCATTTGTAGACTTTGTTTATTCTGATGTCCTGAACTCTCTGTAAGTCATTTGTTACATTTGTTTCTTCCGATGTACTGAATAAAAAGGTGCAGCAAGCCGCCCAGAGCAGACCCAAAGTTCAGCTTCTTCTCAAAGTCTCATTTTTCTACCTTTCCTGTATAATAAGTTAATTTGCCTTGAGGCTCGCAGGAGACCAGGACTTACTGCAGAGCTTCTAGTAAAGTCCCCTTTCCCTGTTCCCTACATTCCTCGAGCTTCAGTTCCCTCATCTGTAAAATGATGATGATGTTTTGTGTGTCTGTAACACCTTGATCATTTGGAGGCAAAACTCCACATGGCACTTGGCATGTGTATTCATGTCTTCTTGCAGAAACGTGTTTAAATCCCCATACCTAACATACCATCACACTGACTTCCCTCATGGTTACAACATGGCTGCCAGCAACATTGGGGCCAACATGCTCACTTGTGCACCATATTACCTTTCTAAAACCAAAAATATGATTTAGTTCCAAAATACATCTTGTGCCAGGAGTTTAGGGACAAGAGAGAGGGAACCCCTAGTGTGGCTGGGTTACAATTCACTCAAAGGGCTGGGGGAGAAAGTAGAAATCACAGGGAATTAAAGTGCTCTAGAAGCCGGGGATTTAGCTCAGTGGTTCTGCCACCTGCCTTGCAAGCACAAGGGCCGGAGTTCTATCTCTGGTATCAAAAAAAAAAACCCAAAAAGCAAACCAAGACCTCCAATTATTTCCCACTATCTCTGTGGCTATTTCTTGAGTTCGGCCCCAAAGGAAGTAGTCAGCTTGTCTTTCAGGGCTGCTAAACTAAGAAATTCCGGTAGCACAATGAAATGCTTATTAGTTACACTTGACCTTGATCAGACTGGGGTTCTGGTCAGGTAATGGTGTGAGGGTGAGGGATGGTGTTTAAAAATTGACAGGCAGAGGGCCAGGGATTTAGTTCAGCGGCACCATGCCTTCTTCACAAGTGCAAGGTCCTGAGTTCAATCCCCGGTTCAAAGAAAAAAAAAACCCAAACAACAACAACAACAGAAAAACAACTGATAGGCAGAGCTGGGTGTAGTGGAGTGTGCCTGTAATCCCAGCACTTGGGAGGCTGAAGCAGGAAGATCAAGAGTTGGAGGCCAGCCTGGGCTACATAGCAAGATCCTGTCTCAAAATTAAAAAAAAAAAAAAATATATATATATATATATATATGATAGGCAGATTCCTGGACACTGGTGAAGTTCTTTTTTTTTCATAAATGATTTCTCTCTTTTGCATCGTGGGAGAACTGGGCTAAGTTAGCTGCGTGTCAAGTCTGATGCTCAGTGCGGTGAGCGGGAGGAGAGGAAGGAGCGGAGGGAGTCACGAAGTTACGCTGTCACCTGAGTCTCCTGAGCAAGGCCGGCCTGCCAGGGGTCTCGGGTCGCAGAGGAGAACGTCGCCCAGTCCCCTCCTGGAGACCGCCGCCCCTGTCTGTGCATTCACAAAGGCGTGCGTTCCTAGGTCTGTGGCTGCCACGTTCCAGCCAGGGCTGGGCAGCGAGGGCCCGGCGAGCGCGGTGGAACCTGCGCGTGGCCTGGGACCGCCTCAGCTGCCTGTGGGTAAGTTCCCTGCCCTCTGCTCCACAGCGCCCCCTGCCGGGGAAAAGCAAAGAAGTGGTGGCTGCCCAGAGCCTAGAGAACGGCAAGGTCCCCCTCAATCAATCACAAATAAGTGACAGTGTGTAAAATAGCTCCAGAAAGCCCAGCAGATTTCCACTTTCCTCCCACAATGGTCCTCGTGTGAAAATGAGTTGTGGAAGTCTTTCTGCGCCCCAACTTGACTGGGAACCCAAACACATGCCTAATCCCATAGCCTCGGTGCACATGGCTGCCTCTGTCCATGAAAGGACCTCTGCCCCGGGGAAACATCATTCAGACTGAGTCTGCCAAGAGCTCACCTGTGCCCAGGACTGCCGGTGCTAGAGTGGTCAGGCTGGGGTGCCGGAAGTAGAGGGCACTTGCCTGTGTCCCTTGACCCGGACCCCAACTTCTCACCACTTTCTCTTCCACACATTGTGCCCTGGAAGCATGCAGGCTTCAGATTTACCCCAGGAATTGCAAACCCAAATCCCTGCTGGTTATAGGAGAGGAGCGGTTAGATGGGGCTTGCAGCCAGGAGCGAGTGCATGGTTGGCCATTCATGATTTAGAACTGTGAGAAGCTGGGTGTGGTGGATACACCTGTATTCCCAGCACTCAGGAAGCTGAGGTGGGAAGACTGCTGTTTGAGGCCAGCCTGGGCTACACAGTGAGTCCAAAGCCAGCCTGAACTACTTAGCGAGACCCTGTCTCAAAAAAACAAAAACAAACAAACAAAAAAACAAAGTAAACTCTGAGATAGGTAGTTCCAGCGGTGGGGCATTAGCAAACAGTGTCAATAAGGACCTAGCATTTCCCTCATCTTTTCTCTTTGCATTCCTGTGTGCTGTATTTCTCCTCATGGTTATGGGACAGTTGCCACAGCACCATCTTTTTTTTTTTCTTTTGTACCAGGGATCAAACTCGGGTCGTTGGGTTTGCGAGGCAGGTGCGGTGCCACTGAGGTAAATCCCCAGCCCAGCACCATGTTTCACAGTAAAATGGGGAACTGGGATAGACATCTCCTTATGTCTCATTGGTAGGGAGCTAGGTCACGTGCCCATCCTTTGACCAATCATTGACAAGGAGAAATGGCATCACTGTGATCCGCGGGAACCAATCATAATTCATCTTCTGCGTCTGGATACGTGTGGTGGGGCAAAATTGGAATTGGGTCAGGAAGGAGAAAGTTAACTAGTTAGCTATAGACGTGGGCGCTGCTTGACAAATCAGCCCCCACGTCTCACTGGCATAATATAACAGAGGCTGCTTTTTCATTTATCTGACAGTCTGATGAGGGTGTTCATGGCTGGCAGGTGACTACTTTCACAAGTTGAGGCAGAAACCTGTTTTATGGCTCAGGCTCCTGCAAGTGTGTCAGCAGGGGAAGAGAGGTCGGAAAAGTCACATCCATTTTTAAGTAAGTCTAGGATCGCACACTTTCTCCCTGTTCATGTCCCATTGGTGAGAATTCATCACACAGTTCTTCCTCGATGCTGGACTCCCTGGGAATTGCAGCTTCTGGCCAGGCAGCAACCTCCAGCAACAACCCTGTGCGTGGGTGTGTGTGTGTGTGTGTGTGTGTGTGTGTGTGTGTGTGTGTGTGGCTGTTGGGGAGGAAATGAACTGATCTCTTCAGGCCCATTTTAGGACATCTTTGCCTTTAAGGAACATCCATCCAGCTGTTCCCAGACCTCTTGGCCTGTCTCTTCTCACTGGGTGCTGCCACCTACAATAGACCACAAATCTTTTTCTGAATACTCCTTTTATTTACTTGCTTAACTTTTGCCCAGGCTGTTCTGTCTAGAATTTTTTCCTCCAGTTTTCATCTACTTGATGAACTCCTATTCATCCTTTAAAACCCAAATTAAAAGTCCCCTCTCTCGTGGAGGCTTTCCCACTACATTACCGTGGACTGCCTTCATATCTTGAAGGCTACTCACCACTGGATTCCCTACAATGTTTAGCACACTCTAGGGCCTCAGTTTTTGTACTAAATGTAAGTACTTCAGGCTGACAGAAAACTCAGATTGGTTTAATGGAATATACTGATTCATATAATCGAACTTGACCCAGAGGTATCATTAGGCTTGGCTAAATCCAGGAGCTTACACATTTTCTTTCTTTCTTTTTTTCCCATATTGGGGATGAACTCAGGACCTTGCATTTGTGAGGCAGGCATGGTGCCACTGAGCTAAATCCCCAGCTCTGCTTATACGTTTTCAAGATTTAGTCTTTTAACATATAAGCTTTAGGGGCTGGGGATTTAGCTCAGTGGTTCCACCGCCTGCCTCGCAAGCGCAAGGTCCCAAGTTTGACCCCCGGTACCCCCCCAAAAATATATATATATATACACATACATATACATATATATACACATACATATACATATATATGACATATAAGCTTTATTTTTGGGTCCCTGCAGAGGCAAGACTGCTTTCAGCCACTACTGATCTCCCTTACCTATGTTCGAGTAGAGCAGGAAGAAAAAGCTCTCCCTTCCCTCCTGTCCAAGCGCAAATTCCTCTGTTCAATCACTTGGACTAGCTAGGGTCATGCACCATTCCTGAAGGAACTCCCCCACCCCCTGGGGGGGCTGGGTTATGCAGATTGGGCAGTTATCTGGTACCCTGATTGGCCCATCCAGAGTCACATGCTCCAATCATAAAACTGGTGGAGTGTAGTCTGCTCCAGGGCAGAAACAAAACTAGCTTTGGGAGGCTGAGGCAGTAGGATTGAAATTCCGAGTTCTGATTGGAGAATTTAGCTTGACCTTATCTCATAGTAAAAGTAAAAAGCTGGGCATGGTGGCACACACCTGTTAATCCCTTCTGAGGTAGGATTATTGAGTTTGAGGCCACACAGTGAGTTCAAGGACAGCCTGCACTACAAAGCAAGACTCTGTCTCAAAAAAACAGAAAAGAAAAGAAAAGAAAGGAAAAGAAAAAAGAAAGCTTGGGTTCAATCCCCAGTATCAGAAAAAAAAAAAAAAGAAAAAAGAAGAAAGGAAGTTTATGGTGAGAGAGGACACAGCTTCCCACAGGAAATTTGGAGCATCCCTATCAGGAAGTGAGAGAAAGCTGAGTGCCCTCAAACTCTCAGGAACATTCGCTGTGTTCTCAGGAACACCTCACTGGGCTTTGAGCTTTTGAGATAATCCGTGTCACACCAGCCACTGTATGCTGAGCACTCCCTACCTGCAAGGCACAATGCCGTCCACACAGTGAATGACCAGTAAGGTGGCTTCTAGAATTTTTTCCAATTACCAGATGAGGCCAAACGACTTGTCCAAGGCTGACAAGTGGCTCTGGAGGAATCGGAGCTGAGACCTGATGACCAACACAAGCCCTTACCTGGCAGGACCCCTTGGGGGCTCTGTTCTAGGAACCCAGCAGTCTGGACCAGAGTGGCCACAGTGGGTCTCACGGCCCCGAAGGCCTTCTGAGGCTAATGCCCCCTCCTCTGAGTCAGGACCTGACAAATTGTCTCTCAGTGCCAGCGGCTCCTGTTCTAGGACAAGGGCCGGGGGTCCACCCACAGCTGCAGCCAAGGTTGGGCACATTTTGCTTTAACCCATCAGGGGGCACAATACCCCAACGCCATGTTGCCCCCTCTCCCCTGGGAACACAGGAGCAGAAGGGTAAGTGACACGCTGGAACCATCTGCCCAGCTCCTAATAATAAACGGTGAGAGGAACAAGTTCCCAGACAAATACTGCTTTGGGGGAGCTCTCCCTGCACCCGACCACCATCTGCCGTGTCCTCCTCACGTGCCAAGCTGTGGGTGGAGGAAGGGACGGGAGAGAGGGCTGGAGGAGGTGCAGCCAGGTTCACAGTCCTCTTCCTCTAGCCACTTTGGACAGGACATTTTGGAGAAGGAGGTGCCCTCACTGGCTTTGACTTCCCTGGTCCCTGAGCAGAGGACAAGCTCCATTCCTTCAAGATGCCGATGGTAGGTAACGACAGCTGCTGGGCCAGTCAGGTGCTGTGCCATCCTGCTCCTGAGTATCACCATGACACATCCATGTGCACCCACTTTACAGATGGGAGCCTGAAGGCTCAGAGACTTCAGTCTTGCCTAAGAGGGCAGAGGCAAGGCTTGAAGCCAGGTCCCCAGGGAACACCCTCTTCCCAACATGGCCAGGCCCCTCTTCAGATCCAACAATGAGGCCAGCTGCATGGTGTGCCATGTAACAGACCAGCAGCTAATGTCACTGGGGGGTGGGCTTCCACCTCCAGTCCTGCCCCGGCTGCCCTCTGCCCTCGACCACCATGCAGCTTCTCTGGTCACCTGATCCCTGGCTCTCTGTTGTCTCCCTCACTCGAAGAAGTACAGGAGAAAAGACTCGGAGGCCCCTCCAGAACTTTCAGAGAAGGTCAAGGAGCAGCTGGCCGAGGCAGAGCTCTGCAAGCTCAGGCAGCAGCTCCGGAAGATGGTGGAGAGCCAGAAGTCCTTCAACTTCCTCAGCCAGCAGAAGATTACCAGCCAGTGGTGAGGGACAGCGAGGGTTTGCACCAAGGGCCCTGGGGGACAGGTGGGGTTCACTCTCATGGCCCCTACCTTCTCCCTGGTGGCTGCTGGGGCAGGGATCCCCTTCTGAGCCCAGTCAGGGTCTTTTAACCAGACTCTGGTGTGGAGAGAACCCCATTTGGAGTGGCTACGGTGGGAGGCAGGATTGTTTATCAGGGTGTCTGGGGCCCCTCTGGGAGCAGGAGACCCACATTTCAAGGGAAAGCCTTCAATGAGGAACCATTTCCGGTTCCTATTTCTCTTTACACATGTTTTACTCTTTCCTCTCTTTCTCTCTCTGAATTTTAGCCCTGGCTGGCTCCAATCTTGAGTTTGCCAGTGACCAAGGGCCAGGTGAAGAGATTGTCTTCAATGACTCCAACCCCAAATTCCCAGGAGAGGCAGAATCTGATTGGCTCAGCTTGGGTTAGGTATCTACTCCTGGTCCAATCAGCTCCATCATGGGTGTGGCTATCGCTGCCCAGTTCTAGCCGGAAGCAGGAGAGTCCCAGGGCCCTGAGATGTGATATTTAGCAGCGTTTCCTCTTTGTGTGTCCTTGTGGGAACCTCAAGATAGACTGAGATTGGATTGCTCTAGAAACAACATGGTGTACGTTTCGCTAGGCAATAGAAAGGTATTCCCTTGAGCTGCATAAATAAACGTTAACATTCTTCGATTCTACCAAAATAATTTTTTTAAATTTTGTACCGGGGATCAAACTCGGGACCTTGCGCTTGCAAGGCAGGCGCAGCACGCTGAGCTAAATTTCCAGCCCCCTCTTTTATTACCTTTATTAAAATTCTCATGTACAGGGCCAGGGATTTAGCTCAGTGACATTGCGCCTGCCTCACAAACGAAAGGTCCTGAGTTTGATCCCCGGTACAAAAAAAAAAATCTCATGTACATAAAAAAAAGAAAGTCTCACTGATAGATGATGCGTGAAGTTCAGAGGATGGAGAAGAAGCATTCTCTAGATTTTCCATAGATTCACTTATCAGGGCCAGGACTCGTCCTTTTGGAACATTCATGGACATTTTTAAAAGGCATCTTTTCTCAAGACTCTTTACTGCCATCTGTTGGGAAAATGGTCATTATGCAGGGATTGTATTAGAACAAGAAAAAGTGTGTCCTAGAAAAGAATACTACATCAACAAATCAGTGATGCTTTGCTGGAGCTCCCTCGGGTTGTGCAGTCCACAACCTGCACATCTGGCCCAGCCAGCCTGATTCTCAGTCCACTCCTAATAAGCATCAGGAAATTCCTCCTTCCCGTGTGACTCTAAATCAATCATTTGATCTGGCTTCCCTTTGATGGCACTGAAGGGCAGGAGTGTGGGAGAGTAGAGATTTTAGGTTCTTTATAGGATCAGAATTAGGCAAGGTGCCTGGGGCATGATATTTAAGGAGGCTCTTTCCCCAGCACTGAACTGCATCACACCATCCTGAGAGTGAGCACCTCCTTAAATTTGGGGTGCCTTACTACCCTCACCCAGTCTCAGCCTTGCCTACAAGACACAAACCTCCTTTTGCTCTAACTTCCTCCTTCTGGCAGACTACCTTGGAGCTGTCTCTGTTTTTCTCTCCGCTATGTTAACAAAGACCCCTTCTAGGAGCAGGGAATTGGGGGGAAAAGTCCCAGCTGCAGATGGACCTTGTGCTCTGGTCATGGGCGTGTGTGACTATTGAAGTTGTAAATCAAATGAAAACTTCAGTTCTTCAGCACATCAGCCGTGTTTCAGTGCTCACTAAACATGCATGTGTCAGTGGATCCTCCTGGGCAGGGCCAGGCGGGGTGGGGGGGGCATTCCCATCTTTGCAGAACGTGCTATGGGACAGCATTGCTGCAGGACAGCTGGCAACCCAAGGGCCAGCTCTGGCTGGCTGCTGGCTTTTGTAAAATAAAGTTTTATTGGCACACAGCTGTGCCTATTTGCCCCTGCATTGCCTTATGGGTACTTTCCCACTGCAGGGAGAGGCGAGGGGTTGCAGAAGGGACTGTGTGGCTTCCAAAGCCTCAAATGTCTACTCTTTGGTCTTTTATAGAGACAGTTTGCCAATCCCTGCCCTAGAACATTCTACAGCCGTGCTTCCCACTCTATAACGTGCATATAGAGCACTTAAGGATCTTGTTACAAAGCAGATTCTGCCCCACCAAGTCCAGGGCTGGTGCCTGAGAGTCTGCATTTCTCCAGGCTCCCAAAGGACACTGAGGCAGTTGGTCTGCAAACCACACCACAGCCAGTGTTGTTGGCAGGAAGGTGGTTACTGTGCCACTTCCCACTGTTTGGATGCGTGTGCTGTACAGTCTCCTGAGCCTCCTTTTCTTTTCACAGAACCTCACCCCCATTCCCAGCTCTTCTCTAGTATAGAAAGAGGGAGGGAGAGGAGGAGACTCACATCCACTAACAATCCATCGCTCTCCCCACCCCAGCACAGAAACTGGCAGGGTTCAGGGCTATCTTGCATCTCCCATCTCTGTGTTGATGCAAACTTGAAAATTCCTGCCTGATGGTTTGCCCCTCATAACCAGAGCTAATTGGCTGCAAAGTCTGGGAAGATGATCAGCAGAATCCAGAGGATGCCAGTGAGCTGCCGTGAGAGTGAACTTCCCCTTCTAGCTAATGGGTTTTGACAGGGACAGCTGCAAATTATTCCCTGGGAAGAAAACACCCCCCAGAGCAGACAGAGCAGGGGGAACTGTGGCCACCCGGGGCTCGGTGATCCAGCCTCTAGCCCTGGATCTGGGACCTCTAGGCCACCCCCTTCACTAGCTGGGGCAAAGTCTGTCCCCCAGGCTCTATCCAGGTCATTTTGGGGTGCAGGACTAACTCTGGGCTGCTTTTGTGACAGCAAGGAAATCCAGACTCTGAAAGCAGAGCAAGAAGAGATCACCCTGCTTCTGAATCTCATGAAGTCCCCCAAGAACCTGGATCTGAATCAGAAAAACTACCTGGAGCTGCACTTCCTAATACAGGCCAAGGAGGACTATGAGGTGCTGATCAAGTCCATGCAGGCACTGCTGGCCGAGATGGATGAAAAGGTGTGGCCTCCTCAAAGAGCTCAGCTCAGCTCAGGGCAAGGGGAGCAGGGGATACCATGATGCCTCACGTGGACCTGACACTGCCTGCTGTGACTTCCCCAGGGGGATCTCTAAATGCCACTGGCCGTGGTCCCCACTGCCTGTGTGCCCTCAGGGCTCCCCTAAAGCTCCAGTACAACTGGAGCCTATCCACACATCCCTAGCACAGCGGGGGCACGGGGAGGTTTTATGCTGGCAGCAGTGCCACCCTGATGAGCTAGGAGGACAGAGAGCCCTGGATGGTCTCACCCTGGCCACTGAGCCCATGAATTGCTTCTGCTTGTTACTCTGTGGCTCAAAACAGACCTGTGACTTCCCTGCCTACGGAGGGGCTCAAGCAGCAAAACCTTCCCATGTGGACCCAAAGGCAAAGAGCTAAGGGTTAGTAGGTAGGTTAACAATGGTGCCCTGGACTACGCTTGAAAGGCCCTGAAGGATCTGCCCCTGAATTTTTCCTTGGCTGCAGACTCCAGAAATTTCCAGGGGCTGGGGATTTAGCTCAGTGGTTCCACTGCCTGCCTCGAAAGCGCAAGGACCCGAGTTCAATCCCTGGTATCAAAAAAAAAAAAAAAGAAAGAAAGGAATTTCCTGCTGCCCTTGTGGCAGAGGCCAAACTCCCTAGTGGGGATGCCTGGCCCAGCTGCACGGGGCTCTCCTGCCTCTCCAGTCCTTTCTGCCTCCACATCCCACCCACTCGTGTTCTTCCTTCTGCCAGCCATGTGCCTCCCCCTCCTTGACCTCTCTGCTTGACAAACTCCTATTCATCTGCTAGATCCCAGCTCAAATGCTATTGCATTCCCGGGAGGTGCCCCACATACCTTGTCTGTCCCTTTCCAGAGGGTCATCACCCTCCATGGCTTGTTCCGGTACTAGATTACAAGTTCTCTGAGTGCAGGGACCTCAGGGTATCTTGGTTACTATCATAGGCCTGCTGTCTGGCACAGAGCAAGTGGTCAGTACACATGAATGAATGAATGGGAAAGGAGGCCATAGCAGTGAAGAGGAAAATTGTAAAAGGAAGGGGACCTGGGTCTTTAGAAGCATTAGGAAAAGGCAGCTTAGTTTGGGATCCTCCACAGGTCATGGTGTCCCCTTCCGAAGCAGGGTGCCACATGCCCCCTCCCCAGGTTGGCAGTGTCCAGAACTGCATTTCTTTGGCCCAACACACAATAGCAGAGCCTCGTCCTTGCAGGATGTCCCTGAAAGGGGGGGACCTCATCTGGCCCTGCCTGGCCTCTGGGAACATTATCAGCCAATGAGAAGGTGGCATCTTGCTTGGGGGCTGTACTTCTCCTGCAGCCGTGGTCTGGGATAGTGGCTCCCATTGGCCTCCAGCCTGACTCTCAGCATGGAGGGGAGGAACTGTGAGCTACACAGGACCCCTGGGGACATGCTCTGCAGGGGGCAGAGGCTCCTGGGCTCTGGGATTCCCTCTAGGGTGGAGGGGAACATCCCTGCAGGGAAGCTGATGTCACAGTCTCCACATGTCAAAGCTCACTTGTAGATATTAAAATGAGTGAATGAAGACTTTTTTTTTTCAGTTCTAGGATTGAACTTCACATTGAGCTATACTCCCAGCCCTTCTCATTTTTTATTTTGAGACAAGGTCTCATTAAATCACTAAACTGCCCAGGCTGGGCTCCTTTTGATCCTCCTGCCTCAGCCACCCAGAGTGCTGGGATTACACCCTGCTATTTTGTCATTTTATTTTGTACACAAAAACAAGCTAGTGAGGCTTTGTGTTGAGGATGCTGCCTGTGCTTAGAACAGGAGAGAAGGAGAAAGCAGAGCAGGAAATCTGAAATTTGATGAAAGGTCAGGCTCAGGGAGCCCTGCAGAGCTTCTTTGAGAGACTTGAGAGGGAGAATATTTGTGTCCCAGCTGTCTTCCCATGTTTTTAGTCACTTTCCAGTACTCTTACACATACCTGAGATAATCAGCTTACAAAGAGGAAAGGTTTGTTTGGGCTCACAGTGACCAAGGGCCCTTCCATTCACTCCCCCCTCTTAAGGGTTCCACAGCCTCAAATGTCCCAGCTCTGGGCCATTGGTCCTTGGGAACAACCCAGACCCAAACCACAGCACTCTGCATCCTGCATTGTCCTGCTGGCCCATTTGACTTTTTTTTTTTTTTGGTACTGGGGATCAAACATAGGACCTTGTGCTTCTGAGGCAGGTGGTAGAACCACTGAGCTAAATCCCTGGCCCTGGTCCATTTGACTTCTGTGTGCCACCTGCCTGCCATGGCTTGTGGCCATCAGCATAGATTTTTCTCTCAGTGCCCCATGGTGACAGCTGGAACCGTACTCTATCTGTGACCATTTAGAAACAAGTGAGGGCAATGAAAACTCCAGGACACTAACACAGGTTCCCAGGGGCACCTGCTCCCAGGAGTTACCAGCCTAAGCTTGGCACTGGGGCCTGTGTGGCCGGTAAGGTTTCTAGTTCACTACAGCCTTGTTTAAAACCTCTCAAATCTGGAGCAGGCCCTGGGATATAGACTGTTCTCGAAGGGGTATAGAGCTGCCACCTCTCCACAAACAGGGATGCAGCAGGCTGCTTTAAATGGAAATGGTGCCTTTGTTGTCCTCCTGCCCTTGCCCACAAGCACCCCCCAAATAAGTAAGTAAATAAAAAGTCAGAGCTTCGTCTCGGCCACTCAGAGGATGTGGCCCTAGTGTACGAGGACCCAGTCCTTGCCAGCCTCGAAGGATACTTTTCTTCAGAGGACAATTCCACAAGTGTGTGCAAGGTCTCCTGGGATTTCACATAAGCCAGCTGCATCTTGAAGGAGCTAAATATTGGGCAGAGAATAAAGCTGGTTGCCTGGTTGTGGACTGAAGCTCACAGTGGGCCGGTTGCCACAGCTGGTGGTGTGTGGGAATAACACGTGAGTGACTGTGGCATGAGATTTATGGGACAGTGTCCGAGGTGGGTTTGGATCTGGACAACTGATCCTGAGTTTACAAGAACAGAGAGAGACACCAAAGTCCTTCCCTGTTCACTCTGGTGGGGCGAGTGTTCCTGATCTGAAGCCAGAGCCAGTTATCCCAGTGGGGAGATTGGACGTTGTCTCATAGGACTGCTTTAGGCTGCAAGTAATATTATACCCAACCAAGGGAGGCCGGCACCAAAGGATATGTATTTATCCATTTTTTTAAGTAAACCTTTTACCTTGGGATCATTTTAAATGTGCAGAACAGTTAGAAAGATAACAGATTTCTCACAGACCCTTCATCCTGCTTCCCCTAATGTGAACATCTTATGTTACCTTGGGACCTTCATCAAAACTAAGAAACTAACCTTGGCACATGACTAAATCAAACT